TCCTTCTCCATCGCTGGACTTTTCTGCTCCTGGGACACCGGCTTCCCATTCAGCTACTCCCAGCCTGCTCTCAGAAGCAGATCTCATCCCAGATGTAATGCCACCACAGGCCCTATTTCATGGTAAGAGATGCAATGTGTTTTGTTTAATAGCAAGTGACAAGCAGTTTCTAACAATAGGGTTGACATAGTTACCTTGACAAAAGAATAACCTGTTTGCTTTACTTCAAAGCATAATGGAAAATGACTGGCAAAGTGCAGTTTTCTTCTTAATTACATGACAATCTAAATTAGATTTTCACAGACAGGTGTAGTGGTAGATGCTTAAGGCAGGAAAGGACCACTGAGATCATCTAGTGAGACATCTTTGATAACACGGGACACAGAATTTCACTCAGTAATTTCTGCATAAAGCAATATGACAGATATTAGGTTTGCAGTATCAGGTAGCATTCAGTCAAGGCACAAAACAGAGAGCTCTTGTAAAGGAAAGGGACTTTCACACCAGTAAAGTTTTGAGGTTTTGGTTGTCTAGCGCGTTCAATTGTCTGAGTACAGACATGTTAAAAGAGATTAAATCTGGGTAAGGGGGAACACATGGAATAAGTTACTCACCATAAGTAAAGGCGTCACATAAGCATTGCTCCATTAAGTGGAATTGTCATATTTACACGAGCTGAACATCTGGCCAGTAATCTGCAAGTGTTCAGCGCTGCTCTGGTGGTGTTATACCTGTTTTGATGCTTTCAAGGAATTTTCAAGGACACCATTAAGTAAAGAACAATCTGAAAAGGTTTCCTTTGAAATAGAAGGAAAAGAATGAGTCTACATTTTCCAGGGACTACTGATATCAGTTGCCCTAATATGAAAGGGCTAAATTTTGAGACACATTAAAGTGACCTTAAATGACAGGTACTCTGCCCTTCCTAAAATCAGACTTTAATATTTCTCAAGGTAGGCATCCAAAATCAGTTGTCATGTTTGAAAATACAGGCCCAGGAGTGTATGACAAGCAGAATATTACAGATAAGCACGAAATTATATTTCCTTCACACTTAAGCCACAAACTCTCTGGGCTCATGCTCTTGCTATGCTGCTTTTGCATCTTTGCTGAGTTAGTTTTGTCTTTTGTGCAGATGATGAAGAGATGGAAGGAGATGGAGTCATAGATCCAGGAATAGAGTACATTCCCCCTCCTAGTGGGACAGTGGGTGCTGGGTCTCTGATAGTGAGCCGAAAGAAAGTGAAAACACCTGAGCAGATCAAGCAAGAGGTGGAAAGTGAAGAAGAGAAAGCAGAGAGGATGGAAGGTGACAGCGAAGACCCCGAAGATTCAAATGAAGCCCTACAGGCCAGGGCGCGGGACAAAAGAAAGCCACAAGTGGAGAAGGACGGTAAGCCCAGAGCCCCCAAGTACACATCTGTTAGCATCTATGAGGAAAAGCTACTTCTGAAGAGGCTGGAGGCCTGTCCCAATGCCGTGAGCATGACCCCAGAAGCCCGGAGGTTGAGGCGCAAGCTGATAGTCCGGCAGGCCAAGAGGGAAAGGGGACTGCCTCTCTTTGACTTGGACCAGGTGGTGAATGCTGCTCTGCTCTTGGTCGATGGGCTCTATGGAGCCAAAGAAAGAGGCATTTCCAGGCTGCCAGCAGGACATGCAACATACCGAACAACTAGCCAGGACTTCAGGATCCTGGACAGGTACCAGGTGAGTGCTTTCAGTCCCAAGTTAACTCCTGGGGCCAGCTGTACGAGGGCTGCTATGGTAAGCAGTAGCCATCATACGGAGGAAGTCTGATTCCAAGCATTAAAAGGGTTACGTGAAAGTCTTGTATCCACTCAACATGCTCCTAGCCCCATTCTTCAGCTGGGTAATAGCCCGTAAAGTATAAAGACATGTAGATGCCAGCACTGGGAAGTAGCAGTTGCTGGTGCTCATTCTACACTCAAACACTTTGCTGATGGAGTCAGAGTAAGTACCTTGACAAACGGTATTACTCTCTTGCCATCTAGGAACATGGGCTCTCCCAGGATAACAGTGGATGATGAGTGCACTTAGCACTTTGCAGGATCAGGCTCTGAAACTGGGGGGAGTTGTGGAGTCACTATGAGCAGGAGCATTGGCCTGTAGTTGCCTGACCTGCTGGTTGGACAGGCGGAGAAGTGAGAAGTCTTTTTCCCTTTTGGAGCTTTGGGTTCCAAACATTAGGGTGTTGGTCAGCTCCCTTGACGCGACAGTTTATTTTTGTCTTGCCTTGTAGACTACACTGCCAGCTATGAAGGGGTATAGGCACCAGACAACAAAATTTCTGTACCGACTGGTAGGCTCAGAAGACTTGTTAACAGACCACAGCATCGTTAGTCCCTACACATCCCGCGTCCTAAAACCATATATCAGGTATGGACCCCTAGAGCCTTCTATTTAGCAGCAATGGTAGTTATTGTTACCAACTTGTCTTTCTGTATTGTGGGTTGTTTTTGTGATACTGGCAGACGTGACCATGAGACCAAGCCTCCTAAACTCCAGCTGCTGGCTGAAATCTGTGCCCATCCACACAAGAACAATCCCGACTGGAAGGCTGAGCCTGAAGCACCCATCGATTACTGCTACGTTCGCCCAAACCACATCCCCACTATCAACTCCATGTGCCATGAATTCTTCTGGCCTGGTAGGAATTCCACAGTACTTGATTTTCTAGGAAAGAAAAAAGTTTTGTTTCAAAAATCATTTTTGGAGCGGGGTCTGTTACCTCAGTGAGTATTTGTTTGGCTCAGTTATTCTATGAATATTTAGTTGAGGAATTCTGTCAGATGATCTGTTCTGGAACAGTGTGTCAGCCTCTACATTTGTGAGATCAACAATACTGGGCAACTGGGCCCCGACTCAGCAAAGCACTTAAGCATGTATTATGCTTTCAGCATGTGAGCCAGGAGGACTATTTGTATGCCTACAGGTAAGTGCTCACTTAGGTGTTTTGCTGAATCAGAGCCATAACATAGTAGAGAGATGTTTTGCTGGATGCCTGCTCCTAACTGGTTTGAGAAAAAAGTTTCTTCCCAGTAAGCACAAGTCCTCAATGGACTGGACTGGACTTCAGACCTGGATAAGTGTCTTGGCTCTACCACAGAGGTCTCCAATCTCTTTAACCACAAGATCACTTTTTCAATTTAAGTTCAATGTAAGATCTACCTCAAACCCAAATACCCTGGCCCTACTTCCTTCCCACCCCTTCTTTAAAGTCCCACCCTGCTCCACCCCTTCTCTCAGACCTCACCCTCTTCGCCCTCCCCCCATCCTCACTCACTTTCACTAGGCTGGGGTAGAGGGTGGGGATGCAGGCTCTGATCTTGGGCCAAAGGGTTTGGAATGTGGAAGGGGCTCCGGGCTTAGCCTAGGGTGGAGGATTGGGGTCCAGCAGGGGTTTCCAGGTGCAAGGCCTGGGAAGGAGTTTGGGTGGGGCGGGAGGCTGGGTGCAGGAGGAGGTTCAGGACTGGGACAGGAATTCAGGATGTAGGCTCTGGCTGGGCACCATTTAACTGAGACTGCTTCTGGGTGGTGGAGCAGTGGGGTTAAGTCCTGCCTTGGCCCTGAACCACTTCTGAAAGCAGCTGGCATGTACATCAATGGCTCCGTGGCACCATGCGCTGCCCTTCATCTACCAGCACTGAGCCCACAGTTCTGCTGGCCACGGTTCCCCATTACTGATCAATGGGAGCTGCAGGAGTGGTGTCTGCAGGCAAGGACAGCATGTGGAGACCCCCTGCTCTGCATCTCTCGGGCTGCAGGGACATGCCAGCCACTTCCAGGAGCAGCAGTTGCCACGGGGATAATGCCTCCAGCCACGACAGGTTCAGCATTTTAGAACTCACTGCTCAAAGAATTAAATGTAAGCGTAAGAGAGAAATGAAAACTATGAAATGCACAGAGCAGTCACAAACTGAAACTAACCCACTTTGCCAGCAGTAAAAGGAGTAACAACAAACCCACCCACATAAGTGTTGGGTCAGGAGATGAGAGTGCAGGGCAGTGTGTGTTTGTGAGAATGACAGGCACACACAGGGTGTGTGTGTGTGACAGAGATTTGCATCGCCAAGCTCCCTCCATCCCCTTCTCTCTGTGTGGAGATGGGGTACAGAAGTGGGAGTAAAGGGGACACCCTGACATCAGCACCCCTTCTCCTTCCCACACCCTGCACAGCAAGCAGGAGGCTCTCAGGGGGGCAGCTCCAAGGCAGAGGGCAGGGGCAGCATGACAGTGGATGGAGGGGCAACTGAAGTGCCAGAGCTTGATAGCTTCCCAGCCAAACCAGTGAGGCTCACCTGTTAGAGGCTTCAAGATCTACCGGTAGATCCTGATCTACTGGTTGGTGACCACTGCTCTACCACATGCTCCTAATGTGATCATGGGCAAGGGCCTTAATCTCTCTAGACCTCAGTTTCCCTTTGGTAAAATATGGATATAGTTGTAAGCTCAAGTGTAGTAGTCTTAACTATTCTTATCAGTCTCTGTTACTTTTTATAGGAAGCTCCTTTGGGCAGGAGCTGTCTCTATGTGCATGTCCCTATGCAGCCCGGATCTTGGGTGTGGTTTTTAGGCAGTATGGAATTAGTAATGATGAACTGCTATAACATTGCAAACTAAATTTGTAATAATACACAAGCACTGCACACCTATATTTTAAAATAAATGTTGGTGCTACACGTGGGTTGGTAGATTATTTGTATTGAAGTAGCACCCGCTATTGTGCTAGCCACTGTCTGTTACTGCCCAAATCAGTAGTAGGGAAATTGGCATGTCTGTCTTTACACATGCCGCTTTGGAAAGCATGAGACACCCTCTGGTTCTAACAGAAGCTGAGCATCTCTCTCACAGCTTTCCCCTGTCTTTCCAAGTCCCTCAATCCCCCATCCACTCAGTGCTTATTCTTATGACACAGACAGGAATTTGTGATAAGCACCAAGGCCCAGATCCACAAAAGTATTTAAGCTCCTAATGGAAATGAATCTATTTTTAATCTAGCTAGCTCAGTGGAGTGGGCAAGCCCTTTGAGTAATTAACCAGGGTTTGGTCAGCTGCCCAGGCTTCCCTGCTCTGGTACCTGAATTAATGAGA